TGGAAAACACAGAAGAAATGGACAGATCCCTAGATACATATGAATTATCAAAGCAGAGTCAATAAGATATAAATATGCTAAAAAAACCCCCAATATCACTCAATGAAATTGAAGATGTAATTAAAAGCCCAGGCCCTGTGGAATTCACTATTGAATTCTACAAGAAATTTAGAGAAGACCTAATGCTGCTACTCTTCAAACTCTTTAATGAAATTGAAAGGGAACTAGTACTCCAAAATTCATTCCTGGAAATAAGCATTACCTTTGTACCAAAACTAGAGAAAGATCCAACTAAAGAAGCAAAATAGAGGCCAAACTCTAAGAAACATAGATGCAAAAATTACAATAAGATACTGGCTGGCAAACAGAATGCAGCAAATCAACAAGAAGATTATACACCATGACCAAGAAGAATGCATGCCAGAGATGCCAGGGTGGTTCAACATATGCAAATCAATAAATGTAATTCATCGTATTAAAAAAGCCAAAGAGAAAAACCACACGATCATCTCAATAGATGCAGAAAAAGCATTTAACAAGGTCTAACATACATTAATGATAAAAATCTTGTAGAAAATTGGGATAGATGGTTTTTATCTCCATCTGATGAAAGCTATGTATGACAAACCAATAGCCAACATCTTATTAGACGGACAAGCACTGAAAGCTTTCACTCCAAAATCAGAAATATGAGAAGGTTGTCCACTGTCACCAGTCTTAATCAAGACAGTTCTGAAAACATTAGCTACAGCAACTACACAAGAGAAATAAATAAAAGGAATAAAAATATGAAAGGAAGAAATTAAATTATCATTATTTATGGATGACATGTTACTCTGCATAGATCATCCCCAAAATTCCACCAAAAGACCCCTAGATTTACTAACTGAATTCAGTAGCATAGCTGGATACAAAGTCTACATTGAAATATCAATAGCCTTTCTGGATACAAATAAGAAACTCAGTGAGATATAAATTAAGGAAACAACATCTTTCAAAATAGAATCAAAAAAGTTAAATACCTAGGCATCAATCTGATAAAGAAAATAAAAGATCATTACAATGAAATCGATAGTACTCTGAAAAAGGAGATGAAATCTCTTTTTGTTGGGAAGAAGAACCAATATAATGACAATGGCCATAATTCCAAAATTTTTATACAGATTTAATGCAATTCCAATAAAAATATTAATAGCATATATCACAGAATAAGAGAAAAATAATCCTAAAATTTATTTAGAACCAGAAGAGGTCTAGAATAGCAAAAGCCATCCTAGGAAACAAAGTCAAGATCATTGCAAATATGACTTGAAATTAGATTTCAAAGCTACAATGACAAAAACTACATGGCAATGGGAAAAAATATAAAAATATAAAATAAACCAGATGAATGGTTGAATGGAACAGTTTATTTAGATGCAGAAACAATTCCAGACATACTAAGTCACCTTATCTTTGACAAAGGAGCCAAACTGGAAGATAGCCTCTTCAATAAATAGTGCTGAGAAAACTGGGTTTCCACATGCTAAAGATTAAAACTAGACTCATGTCTCTCACTATGTACTAAATTAAAATCTAAATAGATCAAAGATCTAAATATTAAAAGAGAAACACTAAATCTGCTAGAAGAAACATATAAAAATGTTGGTGTAGGCAAAGACTTTATGAAGAAAATCCTGATCACATAGGAACTGTCACAAAGAATCAACAACTGCAAACTTATCTTATTAAAAAAACTTTTGTACAGCAAGGGAAATCATCAACAAAGTGAAGAAATAATCCACAGAGTGGGAAAAAGTTTTTACTAGCTGTTCCCCACACGAAGAACTAATATCTAGGATACTTAAAGAACTTAAAAAAAAAATCAGATCCCCAAATTAAGGATCCAATCCAAAAATGGGTAGATAAAACAGAAGTACTTCTCAGATGAAAAACTAGAAATGGAAAATAAATGTATAAAAATATTTAATATTACTCATCATTTGTGAAATGCAAATTAAAACAACTCATTCCAGAAAGAAACTCATCTCATTTCAGAAAGAATAGCTATTGTTAAGAAATGAACCACTATCAAATGCTTGTGGGACTGTGGGAAAAAAGGAACTCTTCTCCACTTTGGTGGGAGTGTAGGACTGGTACAGCCATTGTGAAAATCAGTGTGGAGATTCCTCAAAAAGCTAAAACTGGTGGTTCTATTTGAACCAACTATTCCCCTTCTTGGTATGGTTCCAAAGATAATTAAAAGCCTCATACCATAGCAATATTTGCATACCCATGTTTATAGTGGCACAGTTTGTAATAGCTAAGATTTGGAAACAACACAAATGCCCATCAACCTATGAATGAAGAAGATGTGGTTTGTCTATACAATGTCATAAAAAGGATAATCTTGAGATATTTCTAGCTAAATGGATGCACCTTGAGACCATACTCTTAAGGGAAATATATTGGATACACATGTTTAAATACCACACTGTTTCTCTGGTGTGAAAAACAAAAACTATAATAAGGACCAAAATGTATGACAGATATTGGGAAATGGGAAGAAAGTATTTAAATTAGAAGGGGATCAAGGGAGGGGAGAGCAGGAAAGGAAGGAGGGAACAAGAAAAAAAGAAGAATAGAAGGGGAAAATGGAATCAAAGCTTTTGTAAATAAGGAGGTAAAGAGGGGTTGAAAGGATGGGAGGGGAAATAAAAAAGAAGCAAGATATATCATGTTCAGGTTTGAATTCCCCATTATAAATGTGATCATTATGTATATATAAAATGGATCAATTAAACAAAAAGAGTTGCATCGGATGAGATTGTTATAATTTCAAAGATATTATAACACTTGTAAATCATGTGAATTTTCAATATTATTCTTTTCTTTTCAAACAACAAAGAAATCTCAGATGAGAAAATACGCTCAGAAATCTTACCTCCTCTCATCCTGCCCACTCCAAAACTACTTTCTTACTATTTCTGTGATAGCTCCTTCAAATCTTGAGTATAATCATGGACCACATTGCTTGCTCTAAAGGATCCCTCATTAAAATAAGGTCTCAAGCACAAATTTAGTTTTACATCTGCTCATCAATCTGTAATTATATCTAATTCCTGTTGTGTGCTGGGTGCCACACTGGACATTTAACATGTCATTTACTCCAACGTCAAATTCAAAAATGGCTGATTTTACCTTCATTAACAGCTAAGTAAACTGAGATTCTAGAAATGACGCGTGAATGCCAGCATTGCAGTGTACATCTGCTACAATTCAAACTCCCTTATAAACTATACAACATGTTCTCTTGCAAGTTGAAATGATGATTTTAGTACCAGCTTCTATAATTAAATTATATTGCAAAACCTAATTTAGCCTTTACGGCGTCACCTATAAAAACTATACAAAAGGAACTTCATAAATTCAGTAGTGTTTATGCAATAAATAAAAGTTACACTTGACTTTTAAAATAGGTCAAGCAGTAAAAAAGCCATTTAACCTTTTCACAAAATGTTTTTAATTATTTATACCCAATGAGTACATTTGGACACAACATTCACATTTATTCTCTAATTTACAATTTTTAATCTCTCTTCCAAGGACTTCTGTTTATGAGATTGTCTGATTTTTATTAAGTCCAGTGAAATGCAGGGTCTTATAAAACTGTTAGTGTATTTTATGAGGAAAGCCATTGTGAGGATCGCCATGACTCTGGATAATTAATTTAAACAGAAATGGGGCTACAGTGAGGACGGCGACGTTTACTATGGAATCCACAGCAGGGGGAAGAGTTTACTAAGTAACGTGAGGCAGCTCCTCAAGGTGTCCACTCACCTCCCATGGAAACTTCTTAGCGTTCATATACCTTTCCGGGTAAACCTCTTCTGATGACTTTGTGCATTCTTAGGATAAATAGAATCCTCTTTCAAGTAGCTGCTTAGACTGTGTAAAATGATTCTTTCTGCCTCCTCTGTCACTTGTTCCCTTTCTTTCTTCAGACAAGATTATCTGCTTTTTCAATATGAATCATTTCCTGGGCCAGGGATTTAGCTCAGTGGTTCCACCACCTGCTTCAAAAGTGCAAGGTCCGGAGTTCGATCCCAAGTAAGGAAAAAAAAAAAATTATTTCCCAGGCCACAGGACCTTTGAACATGTTCCTTTGGGCCTGTATTTACAATCAGGACATTGATCTCTCAGAGTCCAAAGCTATTGGATCATTCAAGGAACTTCCAATGTGTTCCCTCCTTTTATCCTTTGAGAATAGAGTGAAAAAGAACAGAGAGTGAGTGAAAGAACACAATCCCTCCTACCACTCCTACCACAATAATCATTCAGGAATGCAGATTTTTGGCCACGCATTTCTCAGTCAAATGCTGTACCACTGAGCTATCACTCCATGGCCAAGCATTTTTAACGTATCAACTAATTTCACCCTCACAATAACCCCAGTAGGTGAATATTTTAAAGTATGACACCTTAAACTTCAGACTGATGTGGTAGTTTAACCAACTAGTAAGTAGGAGAGTCAGGATGCATAGTAAATTGTCAGCGTATGTGTCAAATGTCAGCTATCTCATTTGACTCAGCTTTAGTAAAACTAAAACCCAAGAAAGTGACAGATGCTTATGTGCATATTTTGGCTTTCCCTCTCTCTACAATTTTTTCTTTGAAATGGATTTTTATAGATTTCATTCCATTTCACTCTAGGGCATTGTATTAATGATAACAATGAAAACAAAACACTTGAGGACCTGAACTTCTGCGAAAGACTTCTGGATACCAAACCCATTAACATATTGTTTGTCCAAAGGTTACTAGGCTGACTTCTCAGTGCTTCAGTTCCTCATGGACAGAGTGAAGGTAATAAGATTGATATTTTCCTCAAAACCTGAGAAGTACACAACAAAATAGGCACACAGGGATTGGCACATTATAGGCAATATTTTACCCTATTTTCATATACTGAGAGCTTGTGATATTTAGTGGGCTATATTTGACATTTAACATATTCCATACCATTGCACTTTAGCTCGATCCAACATCTCCTTCCTCTAACAGTTCCATGCAAGTCAACATCGCCTATATGTTCTGCCTTCAAGCAATTAAGTAAAAATTGGTCAAATTGTATTTTTTAAAAAACAATCAACAGGCATGTAAGTTACTTGACATAGGATTTTGTTGTTGTTACCTAATTTAAGAATCACATTTAGACTAAAGGTAGGTAAAATTAGTTGAATGTTGTGATGCACACCTGTAATCCTACCACTGTACAAGGCCGATTGCAAGTTCAAGCCTAGCTTAGGAAACTTAGCAAATTAGTAATACTCTGTCTCAAAATAAAAAAAAGTACTGAGAATGCAGCCCTGTGTGGAAGCCTTGGTTTGGTCTCCAATAACACAAACACACACACACACACACACAAATATGTGCACATACACATGCACACACAAATAGATAAAAGTCTAGTTTTCAACATGACAGGCTTGTGAATTCAAAGAAACATCAGCTGATGTTTTCAGAAAAATTTTAAGAATCTTCTAAAATCATTGCCAGTATTTCTTTCCAGAAATTTGTTAAAAGATTTTCACATAGATAATCTGCAATTTTCTCCAAACTTCATATTGTGATATCTCTTTCAAACTTTCTCATGGACCAGTTATCTTTGTGAAAATATGCACACTTCTCTAATTAAAGAAGTCATTTGGAAAATACTGTTTGTTTGTTTTTTTTTAGATCAGGAAAAAAGGTCATGTACAAAACAATCTACCTACTTTAAAATACCTTGAGGCATGTGTCCTCCCGTGACTTGAAGGTGAAGAGTACTTGGAGGAAGGTATTTGCTCCTGGGATAAATCATTAAGTCAAAATTCAAAACAAATGATGGTAGGAGTTTACTTAGATGTTACTGTAAAAAAACCAACAGAGATAAGTGAATTCATGAGGAGGAAAGATTTGATTTAGTTTTGGGGGTGGCAGTTCCTCTTTGCTGGGCTCCATTGCTTTGGGCCTCCGGCGAGGCTGTTGACCTGTGTGGGGTGCACGGGGGAGGAAAATACTCACCTCGTGGCAGCAGAGCGTGAAGAGAGGGTGTGAGGGAGGGGCTGGGTCCCAACACATCTGAGAAGGCCACACCCTAGTGACCTAACTTCCACCCACTGGGCTGAACCCCTTAAAGGCTCTGCCACCTCTCAAGGGCACCACAGGCTAAGAACCAAGCCTTTAACATGTGGGACTTCAGGAGATAGTTGTCCAAACTGTGGTAACAGAATACCATAAGAACAGGCCACTAATAAATAATAAATTTGCATAGCTGAACATCAGTACAAAGTTTATTTCACAGAAAAAATATAGTTATCCTTAATTGATATGTGCTGCCTAAGTGAGCTAGTCATCCTTAATTGAAACTTACTACTCGGCAAGTTATTAATTGGTAATCGTATCACGATTGTACGTGTGTGTGGTATGTGTGTGTCTAGGAGCAGATTTGACCATGACCTAAAAGATTCTAAACAGCAAAGCACAAGCTTTGGCCCTCTTTGACTTCCAATTTGACTTGACTGAACTTAGCAGTGTGTGTGCTTCCCCATCTCCTTTATCCTTTGGTGGAAACTCAGAAATCCCAGGAGCTGTTTGTCATTTGTTTCTCTACTTGTACATCGCCCCGCCTCCCCAAGCCTTACTCTCACCACTTACTTTCCTCTTCTTTATCCCTTTAACTGGCCTCTGCAAAATACTTTTTGTTCATTTCCTATGTAGAAGACACAGGTCAAATCCTTAAAAACAAAGGACCTCCAGAAGAAGAAACTAAATCCGGTTGTATCCCTGCTGGCGAGCAGTGATGTATGAGGGTTGATATGAAGGCAACACTGCGAGAATGGGGAGTATCCACTGGTATGAGTTAGGAATGTAGTCCTGGATCTAAATCTCAGAAAGATCTTACCACATTGCATTAATCATGGCACTTTCCAAAGGAATCAGTAATGGGCAATTCACACACCATTTTTCCAACGCCATTCAACATGGTAGTGAATAGCTTTCCCGATCACTTTTATTTAGTGGTAGAACTCCATAAATTCTAAGTGAAGCACAGAAAATAGACCTTTAAAATGATTTGGGGAAAAAAATCCTGTAACTACTTTGGTAACATGAGTAAGATTGCATCTTCTTCTGTGAATTCATTGGTACAATGTCATTTAGGTAGCCATTTCAAAGTGTTAGGCTGTGACATATGGTTATTTTGTGTAGTCCCAAAAAGAACCTCCCCAAAGTATATTTTCCAATCAATTTAAAGTCCTAAGTCCACCAAAGTTGTGTTTAGCTTAGAAATAGTTGTATTCTGGGATGCAGAAGTGGGGAGTGTTTTCAGTCACATTTATGTTGAACGTCAGCTGCTGAAATATCGCCAGTGAGGGCAGGAAGGACAAAGCTGAGCTTGCTGACCACTGCATCATCTGAACACAGCTTCTGTGAGGCCTCATTGTTGGGAGGCAAGACTGGGATTTATTGAGATTCTGAAGTTCCATTTCAGAGGGAAATGGGGACAGGCAAGAAAGGAAGTAGGGTGGGAGCTTGAGTAACGGTGGGGAACTGTTATGATACCACAACTTCACATAGGTGCAAGGGGCAGAGCCAGGATATTTTAGGTAAGGTATTCAGAAAGTCATTCGTGGTAACTGTCTGCTATTAATAATTTGGTAAGTCTTTTCTAGAAATCCCTACGGTGAACAGTCAAGATAATTTAGTAAAGACAAAAAGTCATATCTAAATAACAGTTTTTAAAATTACACGTAGCAATTACTATAGTGAAATATTTTTTTCTTTCTTCCAAGTAGGAAAAATCGGTATTGCGTCTCTTGTATATGATTGTACAGATCACAGATTTTACCACATGACTTTGGTAAATAAAATAATCATTAGTCATGGGTATTTGTGGTTATACTCTTGCCAGGTCCTAAAAGAAAAATATAAAATTCCTTTTCTTATCTTTATGTTTTTATTTTTAAAAGCTAAAACTGCATTCCTATTCTGGAACATACTGAAAATATTTGAAATAGTAAAAGCAAAGTAACACTGCTGAATTTTGTTTACTCATGTAGAAATAATTTGCATAAGTGTACTACATACACATTTAAAGAATACAGTTTTGTTTAAATAAGAGATTATTATTAGATAAAAAAATTTAGTAATTCACTAGAATATTTTTAATGGATAGAAAATATTGTCATTATTAATGAGACTTCTAAATTTATTGAGATTTTGACAAGTGTTAAAATTTTAAAAGGACAGAATTTTGGAAAATTACTTCAAAATAAATAATTTTTGTGGTTCTCACTCTATGAAGGAATGGTGATTGTCTTTTAATATAATTTTACAAGGTTATTTGAATGTGTGAAAACTGTAAAAATAACACAAATTTAAAGATTTGGAGGGTTAAGTGTTAATACCAAGATGCAAATGCAAAGAAATAATATATCAAGGCTAGGATAGGCAGAGAAGTTGAAGAAAATGATTTCAGTTTTACAAAGAAGGTATCCATAAAGAACAAATGCCAAACAGTAAAAGATAGCATTTTCATGTCATGTTGGAGGTAGATGGTCAATCTGAGGCATCTTTATTTGTTTGTTATTTATTTTCTGTAACAGGAATTGAACTCAGGACCTTGAGCCTCCCAGGCAGGCGGGTCACCGCTGAGCTACATTCCAGGCCCCCTGAAGCATCTTTAAATCAAATTTGCCTCATCGCTGTAGAGGAAAGGCTGATTTATAGTTGTCTCCATCACAAGATAGAGGTAGCGGCAGCCTAAAGTGGAAGTTGACCAAGCAGATTGAAATACTTGAAATACCACTTCTAATTTATGTCGTTTTGTTAAGCATTTCCCTCCGCAGAAACTGACCTTCAAAACAAAGGAAATCTCAGAGGAATCCTAGCAGGAGGTCATGGAGGAACATGAGGAACTCTGAAGCACAGAAACCCTGTGAAAGGATCCAGGGGTTCCAGGGAGGCATTTCACTGACCTTGAATTTTTGCTGGCGTCTGTCCTGGTTCTCAGTGAGAGCAGTCACGAGGAACCTGGGAGCCTAAGTGGGAGCTGTGCTTTATAAGTTTTATGCCATCTAAGCAGGGGGCATTTGTACTTTCAGTGGCTGGTAAATAGAATATTGGCCAGTTTATCATTCCTGAATTGAAAACAGTGGAGTTAATCAGTTCAGAATTTCTTTTTTGCATGAGATGAAACTAGAAATATTCAGCCTAAGGACATTTTTCATACTGTTAAGAAAGACTTCTTTAATAGTGGAAATGTTCTGAGCTTCATAGCTTTAATCTGGGTAATAATAAACAGACAGAAAGGTTTGGTACGGGTTCAATAGTTGAAATGGAAATGAGGAAACACTACTCAAGTTCCAGAGTTTGTGTACTCGCTTCAGTGTGCAAAAGAGCCGAATGCCACAGATGCATGAAGCCCCCAATACTCCCTAAGACTCAGTGGAAAAGTTCTGTAGTTAGTTTTACTCAGGAATAAGAGTAAAATCTCCAGTAACCAGAACTTTGTTTCCTTCACCACCTGAGATTTATAGGTAGCAGGTTAATTTGCAGTACCTTTTTTCTTTTTGGTACCGGGGATCGAACTTGGGTCCTTGCACTCAAGAGGCAGGTGGCAGAACCACTGAGCTTAATCCCTGGCTGCAGGACTTTGTTTCTGGCACTTTTATCCTTCAATCTTTAAACAAAAGACGTAACAGTTTCGTCTTTTCAAGTCAGCGAGCTTCTCTATTGTGTCATGCAGAGTTAAGGTCATACGGTGTCAGAATTTCTTTGTGCAATTTTAAATCTTTGTAATCCTTCCTCTTTGAAATAAACAAGCTTCAAATACTTTTAGTACAGCTTTCTACAGATGTGATTCAAGAAATCAAGGAATGGAAATCAAAAGTTTTTCATTTTACATATTTAAAAAGTCAAGAATAAGCATATCTTTAGCTGGTCTTTCTAAATTCTTAGTCTTATGATGCTTTGGGAAATAAAAAAGAAAAGTACATTGGCATTCTGGGTGGTATAATTTGAATCTCTGGTTTTCTGGCTTTAGTCTTCCTGCTAAGAATTTGTTTAGAGAGGCCAAGATCATTATAAATAGACCCCTGGCTTCTGAAATACTGGGAGCATTACACTCATAATAAAACAAAATTAAAACCATTGAATTCATTGTAATTAGAGCTGCTATAACAATCTCATAGACATCGTGTTTTTATCTGGATTTATTTTTCCTATTTTTTAAATAAAAGCCTTACATTTTTATTTTGAAAATGGCTGAACAAACTGAACTAAATGAAGTCAAGTTGCACTGATCTCAGAAAGTGAAATATGATGACTTATAAAGTAGTTTTTGTTCTGATATCATTCAGGCTTACTACTTATGCTATTCACTTCCATTGGATATTTGCTGTAGGAGGAACTGGCCCACAGATTTCCTCTATGTATTTCTATAGGTAAAAGAAAAACATCTGGAAAAGTTACTTCAGTAAAAGCTATTGTGATTTCTGTGACATTAGATTTCAATATTCAGAAAACCTTGTTCTGTTTTGTAGCTTGATTTCTTTTAGAATAAATTGAATTTACAGAATATCACATGGAGAGTCTCAGTGATAAATCCAGTCATTCTTTATGTGTTTCATTGAAACATAATATTTTCTTTTCTATTATTGCTTACACATAGTATTCTACACAGATTAGTGGCTACATACTCTGTTTGGAGGTCAATTTTTTGAAACTACTTCGAGTTCTGCAAATAAATTTGATTCTGACACTTCCCAGAATTAGCACAAAATCACAAGATAAGGGCAGTTTGATGACAAGACTAATATTACGGTTTGTATCTAGTTATACCCTCAAAGCACCATGAGCTCATACTTGGGGCTTTCCAGAGGTGGCAGGATCTAGGTTGTGTGAATAGGAATTAAGGATATGTGATAACTAAATTGGTTTAGCATAATTCTGAGTGTGGATAATGGAAGCCCCATCCTGTGTGTGGGTAGCACCAGTGAATTGCTTGTAGCCTAGATGGAATATACAGCGAAAGATGGAAGACAAGCTTTGCTGTCACCTGCTTGCCATGCCATGGGCTGTGTCTCCTTGATCATATTCCTTTGTCATAACCTGAAGCCAACTATGGATGAAACTTCTACAAACTGTGAGCTAAAATAAACCTCTCCTCCTTTAACTTTGGGTGTCAGGTATTTGGTCTCAGCAAAGAGAAAAGTAACGAAGACAACTGCCCTCACTATAGATACCAGCTGCAAATCTTGAAGATGTCTTCATTTCTGACTGACCAGCTATAAAGTCGGAGATTCCTACAATCTTTCCCCCGGGCTTGATAACTGGCTAACCATTATAGTTTAGATCTAAAGTGTCCCTCAAATTCTCATGTGTTCAGATATAGGGCTTCTAGGTGATCTATCATGAGATACTACACTCATTGGTGGATTAATCCATTGATGACCTTATAGTTTAGTGTGCTATGGAAGGCAAGGCTTAGTTGGAGCAGGTGGCGTGACCTGGAAGAGTATGTTTTGTCTCTGCCTCCTCCCTTTTCTCTCTCTGGTTCTTGGTTGCCATGGGTTGAACAGCTTCCCCCCTCTAGGTCCTTCCACCATGATTTTCTGCCTCAGATCAAGCCGACCATAAACCAAACCCTCTGAAACTGAGCCAAAACAAATTAATTAGCAAGTATTACGTATTTTGTCCCAGCAATGAGAAAGTGACCACTGCACTCATGGAACTTACACTTGCAACTATAGTTTTATTATAAAGAAGACAATTCAGAATCAGCAAAATGGAAGAGACACATAGCCAAAGTCTGGATTTGGGTTGGTGGTGGAAGGATACAGAGCTTTCATGTATTTCCTGTGGACTGTGTCCCTTTCTAGACAATCAGTGTTGGTCATCAACCCAGGAAATCCACTGAGACTCAGGTCTAGAGTGTTACTGGGTTTTTATTATTAAGGGAAGATGATCAAATCATTAATCACACAACTGAACTCAAGTTTCAGACTCTTTCTCCTCACGAGAGGTTGAGCTGATCCAAAGTTTCAATCCATTGATCGCAATTACTTGGTAGGCTTTGCAGTGACCAGCCTTCATCCTGACCTATTATAGCTCTATGAATTATTATAGGTACTATCAATTAGTAATATGTTCTACATAATATTTTATTTATCATTTTTTATTTTCTCTATCGAGGTTCTTCTAGGCAGGGATTAAATTTATTACTTGAAACACTGGTTGACACTCAAAGGCCATGAAATAAGCATTTGTTAAATCAAGAAATGAGAAAGGGGCTACTCGGTTCTATATAAAATAAAATGAATGTTAAAATTAAAACTTGAAAATTCTATCACAATCTATTTTCAAATAACTCGTTGAAGTGTGACAACTTTGGCATAAAAATAAGAAATACTCGACATAACTTGTCACAGAAGATCAGTGCTTGGTGAAAATTAAAAGGAAAAATAAAGAGCTACTCAAGTCCCTCCCAAATATATGTACGTAAGTGCTGGTTATTGTATTTTAATGTGAACTCTTATTAAATGTGAAAAAGATGGTTGAGTATAACTTCTGATGATTATCCTTACATCTGTTAAATTAGTAAGCTATTAGAAAGTGGTATTGAGATAACATTAAGATACATTAATTTCTTAAAATAAAAGGTAGATCTAAAATGTCTTTTAGTCAAAAGGATTGCAATCATGTGAAAATGTTATTTAATTGTATTTCAATATGTGAAATGGAAAAAGAGTTTCCAGGAAATTGTAAAAATTCTTGTAACTTAATAAGAAACACTGAAGAGGAACTAATAGGAATTTACTCAGGCACGTTGTAAAAGGGAAATCCAGAATGGTCAATAAACTACTGATAAGATTTTTCATTTGTTTTACAATGCATAAAATGCTTATTAAAATAATAAGGAAATCTTAATACATACTTGGAGTAACAAGTATTTAAAGTCTGGAAATGCCAAGCAATGGTCAAAATTAGGAATAAACTGCTGGAAGCTTTTATGTAATGAATAAAATCAATTTGATAATTTTTGAAAAAATTGAAATATGTGCATCCCATCATGCACCTCTTCTACCTGAATAAAATATTGAAATTAAGTTCACATGGATATAACTTTAAGAAGAGAGTGGGATACCTTTGGAGCCCTGAAGTCTGTAATCAAATTAACTATGTTTTAGACTGTGAGGAGAGATCTGTATCAGGAGACAATAAATAGAGCACAGAAATAGAGAACATAAAGACTTAAGTATTAATGTATCTCCTGGACTTCCACAGAAGACAATGATCAGTTGGGATCACCTGAATCACTGGGTCAATTTATGCTCTCTTGCACATTTCTTGGCTCTGGACATTTGGGACTGCATAATTTTTGTTGCGGGAGGCTGTGTCTTATTCTTTGCAGGATGTTGATTACCATCCCAGGGCTCTAAAAACCAGATCCCAACATATTCCTCATTTTAACAACAAAAAATTGTCTTCAGACATTTTGGCCTAGAGATGTTATATGTGGCAGGGAGGAAGGATTTTGCCTTTCTGCAAAGAATATTGCAAAGATTTGGAATGAAGGTAGTAGTACTAATTCCATTCCTAGTAATTAGGTTACTATCATCTTTGAACCTTGTGTTTACCAATGAAAACCCAGTAATTTAACATTCAAAACCAGGGACTAGAGCCTAGAAATGGTGGACAAATCCACATGTCCTGTTCCCTTGAACTCCTGTTTACATGGCTGGCTGATCTTCCTTATTTTTTGATGTTAAGGATCCCTGCATTCAAGTAGCAGTACACAGCTGCCCGGTGTATGACACAGGCCTGAGAAAAAGAATACAGAACAAACAGACAAAACTAAGAGAGAGAAAATGGGGTGCCAGGATGACCAAAGCTAGTGTAACTGACAAAGGTGCTGGACAGTCCTAGGCACTGATGTTTAATGGCAATCAATTGGGGTAAAGGCAACATGTGGCTTCCATGGAAATTAATGTAAACAATGCTCATAAGGGACAAGACAAAGCAGTCTCAAATTAGGAACAATAT